CTAAGAAGTTGTGCTACCCAGCTTTTCCTCACTGTGACACAATACCTGAGAAAAACACCTTAAGGAGGCAAGATTTATTTTGGCTTATAGTTTCAGAGGTTTCAGTCCATGGTTGGCTGTTTCCATTGCTTTTAGGCTTGTAGCAAGGCAGAAATATCACGGCAGGACACAAAGAAGGAAAGTACTCACCTCAAGGTGACCAAGAAGCAGAAAAATAGTGAGAGCCTGTGCTTGTGTGCTTCCTCCTTTTGTTTTTGTTCCATATGGGTCTTCACCCTATTGGATACTACTACCCACATTCAGGACAGGTCTCCCCCAAGCTATCCCACATGCCAATCTTCTGTGAAGAACGCCCTCACAGACACACCCAGAGGTGTGCTTTACTAATTTATTTGGTGTTTCTCAAGCTCAAGATTAACCAAAAAAGGATAAACCAACACCAAAGTATATGTAGGAGATCGGGGTGGGGGTCTATGAATGCTGTCTGCCTCTCTTTGTTTCCAATTCTTTGTACCTATAAGACAAACATTTTCCTTGGAGAGACAGTGGCCCTTCAGTAACACTGAGGCAATAAGCATGGGGTAAAACAAACACACTAAAGATGGTGAGTTGACAGGAGAAAGTTTGTTTCCCTAGTAGCACCAGGGTTGTGCTTAGTGGGATATGACTGGCTTTTTCTTCCTTATAGAAGTCAACATTGTTTCATTTCTGTGTTAGTTTCCACAACCACCAGGACAAATTACAAATTTTAAGCAGTTTAAACTGAAATGTGAAACCTTAAGGTTCTGTAGGTTAGATCTGACCTGTGTCTCACTGTGGAGAATCCAGGAATGAACCCGTGGTCCAACCATTCCCAGCCTCTCAAGGCCTCCCACGTTCCTCAGCTCAGAGCTACTCCTTTCACCTTCAAAGCCACAGTGGGTCTCTCCCTGACCAGTCTTCCGTGTCACCTCTCACTCTGTCTTCCATGGACAGGATCCCTTTTCTCACCCAGACGAGCCAGGATAATCTCCCTCCTCAAAATCCACAGATTCACTCTCTTGATTCCATCCAAGACCTTCACTTCTCTTTGCCATGGGATCTAACAGGTCCTCAGGATTAAGCTGTAGATTTCTTTGGGGGCCATTATTCTGCCAACCACAAGGTCTTACAACTAGAAAGCTCCTTCTATAATTTGAAATACAAATCAGTTTTAAATTTTAAAGTTTAAATTCAGTATTAAAACTGTAGATAGTGATCCAATAAGCCTTTTTAAAAATCCAAACTTTGAAGCACAGTGATCAAGAAAGCTATCTTAAGATTTCTACAGAGAAAAGAAGTCATCCTGAGTTTAGCCAGCCAGTAGAAGTGCTTTAAACTTACAGAAAACAAAGTTAAGAGATGCTTTCAATTCCCAGGCTTTCCCAGTCCAGGGCTTGCTTGCTACATGCATCCCTGCCTGAGCTAGGACCTCCCACCCTAGTGTACAGGTGGGTCTCTATTCTCCCTACACACAAGCTGACTGTACATACAGCCCAGTGAGGAGGGGAGCCCTCACAGGCTCCAGCCTTTCATAGACAATGGGGTTTCGTGGATTTGAAAGTAACACCTTTAAGAGTCCTGCTGGCATCATTCAGTTCTGACCTGGGTAATTTCACAAGGTGGAATTCACCAGCATCTGAAATTTTAGGATGAGCATGCAGGCACAGAGCAAGGCAGTGCTGTCTGCTTGATGAACAAAGGTAAACTCAGGCCACGGACTCCACACTGGACACTAAATACATCCAAGTGAGTGTGTGCTGGCATGGAATATTGACATCAACCTGCGAAATTTTAAGTGTGATACTTCTGCTTGGTAGAGAAACCATCAACAGACCACAAAGTTTGTTCCAAGAACAAATCAGGATGAGAAAACAATGTAGAAGTTTATTTTTTAAACAAATAATAAAATAATTCATAGGCAACGTCTCAAAACTCCTTCCAGATGACAAATATCTCATTATATCAGTAGAGATGGAAATTAGGCTGCTCAACCAGGTGAAGCAAAATCAATCTAGCTCTTCTCATCCTGTCTTCCAGGTGTCTTGCCTTCTTTGAAATTAGTCTGGAAAAAACTAACCTGAAAATAACTTTGAAAATATACAAGACACAAATGAAATCTGATTGTCCCAGAGGTGATCTAAGAATACTTAGCCCTAAGAACACCCTTCTCTGACACTCCTCCCATGGTCTTTTATCTCCAATGAATATGGGCCTGGTTAGAGCATCTTTGTCAATACAAACAAACATTGTTAATGCATGAAATTGCTCAATAGAGACAAAAGAATGACTGTCTCAATCACTACAGAATCCTTGGTGAGATCACAAACTGTGGTGAATGCTGCTGCTGAGTACCGTCCAATGAAAAGACAGAGATCTTCAGTACAATAAGCAGCACATCAAACTTCAGAAATCTCAACTATGGTTCCATTCAATACATTCTAACATCAGATTTGAGCATGGGGTGGGGAATGGGACATTTGTTCCATGCAGTTCTACTATGAAACAGAAGCAAAACAGCATTTGTTGATTTTATTGGAGCTGCACACTCATGCTGCTTCAGATGCCAGCTTTTTAAGAAATGTCATCATAGGGAACCAACCTTGGCTCTGTGCTTATGATCCTAAAACCGAGGCCCAGAGTTCTCAAAGAAGGTCTGCCAGATCTCCTCATGCAAGAAAAAGCACACTAATCAAGATTCAACATCACTAGGTGATGCTGTGTTTTTGACTTTGATGGAATTATAAAACCCAAGTTTGTACCCAGGAATACTACAATGAACTCTGAACATTGAGGGTTTATTAGTGTTCAAAAAATGATGTATATAGAAAATAGTCTAAGAAATGAGCAAACAATTTCATCCTCCATAATGACAATTCTCCATGTCACACATCACTTCTGGAATAGCAATTTTTGTGAAGTAAATACATTACAGTGTATCCGCATCCACCTTAGGCACGATATCTGGCACCATGAGACTTCTGGTTTTTCCCCAAAGTCAAAATGACCGTGAAAGATTTTTAATTGATTCTGGACATCAAAGCAGCCGTGAGAGCACAACTAAAGACAGGAACAAAACTTCTAGAACTGCTTCGGACAGTGGCAGGAATAATGGGATCAATGTGTTGGGGGGATATTTTCAGGAGGATTAATGGCAATATGTCTTTCATCATATTTTTTATTACACCTTATAGGTCAAAAGAAGAGTCCTGACATAAAAAGTATAATTAACAAACTCAGACTTTTCCCTTTGCTATAGTGTGGATTTGTGTGTTAATGGCTTGGTCAAAGATTTGTGTGTTAATGGCTTGGTCCCCAACAGGGTGATATTGAATATGGTGGAACCTTTAGGAGGTGGGACCTAAAGAAAGAAAAGTAGGTCACTGGGTGCATGCTCTCAAAGAGGATATTGGGACCCTGACCTCTTCTTCCATTTCTGCTTTCTGGCTGATGAAGAGAGTGGTTTGCTATACCATAGCATCTGCCATGATGTGCTGCTTTATCAGAGACCCAAAGCAATGGAACCATTTGATCATGGACTACAATTTCCAAAACACTGATCAAAAATAAACCTTTCCTCTTCATAAGTTAATCTGCCTCAAGTATTTCACTAGAATGATCAAAAACTGACCAATATATATTTTACCTAGGAAAATAAACTAATAAGAACAAAAAGATCTGAATAGACATAAGAAAATGAGACTGAGTTTAAATTAGAGGGGGCAGCAATGACATCCCTAATGTCAAGGGTGACATCAGAATTAGGAGGAAGAGATTATAGACAGAGGAACCCAGAGCCAGGACAAGTAAGCTGAAGGGATTTGGTTAGACCAACGTGATGCTGTGAGGGGTCACCTTTAGAGGCCAGGGAGGGTGTAATGTTACTCAGGAAGATAAAGATTTCATCCCTGACTGGAAGGGAGACAGGGAGAAGGAGTCTGGCAGGTGAACTACAGACATAAATACCTATAGTTCCCGGCGTTCGGAACATGACAAATGTGAATGATTACCCTTTATTTCTTTCATAGGACAAAAACCTCAGTGGAATAAATTACCAATATGTTAGCATACCAAAGTAGCACTCTAAAGTACAGAAGAATACATGCAGTAAGATGAAAGATGACACAAACTTTAATGTTAAAGAAGAAAGCAGATGTTAAAGAGCAGGAGTACTGGGAGTTATACTTCTAACTCATTAACAGAGCACCATGGTAGCTTGAGACATAAGACTGTTTATTATGTTTACCACCTTCCAAGATCCCATCTCATTTTAGATTTTAATTAACCAAACATTTTGTGGAGGATTATAAACAAGAAAGGGAATTCTCTTTTAAATACAGATGTTCCTTGACTTCTGATGGGTTTATATCCCAATAAACCCATGGTAAGCTAAAACCATTTTAAGTCAAATACGCATTGAATCCACCTAACCTACCAACCATCCTGGCTTAGCAGCATAGTACACCGTAAAGTGCCAGTTGTTTCCCTTGTGACCCTGTGGCTGACGGGGGCTCTGGCTCATTGCTGCTGCCCAGCGTCATGAGCGAGCATTGGAATGCATATTGCTAGCCCAGGAAAAGATCCGCTTTCAAACTTCAAGGTAATTCATACTCGATGCATACCACTTTTACACCATCATAAGGTCAAATAATCCTAAACTGAACTATTGTATGTTAGGAACCATCTGTGGTTTCACATTATGATTAAATCAGAAATGCTCAGAGAGATCATTTGTATTAGGGAGTGTTAATGGTTCCTATTAAACAATAAATAAATAACAGCTCCAAATGCCCATCCCCCACAGTAATGCCCAACAAGCCTGCTGGAGGTCCTGCCCCAAACCCATGGGTCCCAGAAAGAGCACCAAGGGCTTTGCTCCAAGGCCCTCAGCCACCTTTCAGTAACGACCTCCGTATTTCCAACCTTTTGCCCTCACCTGTGTGGTACCCAGGATTTTTCTACATCCTTCCCTGCCACCTTACCCTCTCTCCCACAAAATTCTGTGGGCCAAGGTTGCCAGGAGATCAGCAGGGCATTTGCACACACAGACACACAGACGGCAGGCACCACCACATCACCTCGCGGAGAGCTCCTGCAGGAATCTGGAGGGCAGAAAGGGACTGATTGGAGCTGGGCATGTCTAAGCAAGGAGGCAAAGTAAGCAGGGCCCAAGGCAGGGCATGAGCAAAAGGGAAGGACGGTTCAAGATCAAACAGGTAGGTCCCCACTACTTCCCACAGGAAGCCTCACCACCCGCACAAGGCCAAGACTGCAGGCTGGCAGAGCCCCTCCCACCTCCACCCCACAGGGCCCCCTGTAGCGACCACCACCTTTCTGTGGCCAAGTCCAGCCCATCCCAGCACCAAGGGAACCCTGGTTCCGACAGTGCTGCTTACTAGCAAGGCCGGCTCAGGCATGTGCTTAAAAAACAATTACATGTCTTAGTCATCGCAGAGGGTATCTTTCCAAATAAAGAAGTTCTACAGTAGGAAATCCTGGGTTTGTTTTTTTTTTGTGTTGTTTTGTTTTTTTTTTTTTTGGATGATTGTTATCCTTGCTTTTTTAAAATATGTATTTGCTCACCTAATTTGTAGACAATTGGATTTCTCCGAGCGCTCAAAGTCCGGTGTGGCTGCGCCTCCACCCCCCTATCTCCCACACCGGGGCAGGCAATGGGGATGCATCCTGGGAATCCTGAGGCGCAGGAACTTTGAGAAATAACGATCCAACAAAGGCAACCCACTGCCTTTACACCCTGTCTCCAGGAACCTATGAAGTACTGAGAGATGAGGGGGTGGGTACGGGGTTTCAGCTGCCACCTCCAGGAAATGGGCTCAACTCATCTGATGTGGGTAATGAGGGGGTCCCGGGACAAGGGTTACCTTCCGGTTTTATCTGTCATTATTCTGCGGAGAAGCTGGCATGTTGGAGACCATTATCCTGTACCATGCTGCTGGCGGCCCTGCACACTCTTAGGGAGACCCTGCTGCTAAGAAGGAAGGAAGGAAACAATCCTGCTGCTTCTCGGGGCAGGGGTCAGTCTGGACCTCCAGACTTCAGGAACATCCTGAAAGCCAAATAGCTTCCTTTGTTACTTTACTATTGGGAGCTGTTTCATCTGTAAAATATAGAACTTATTCCTCATATTTAAAGAACTATATTTAACTGATGTCTCCACATAACACTCAAAGCAAAACAAAGAAGAAGGGAGGATGGGAGGAGAAAGGCAGCCGCGGCCCAGTGGAAGAGGGGCTGGGGAGGAAAGGAACTGGGTCCAGAGCGCTGGCCAGGCCAGCCGCGCGGAGGGCATGCCGGGAAAGCGAGTGAGGAGAATGGAAATGGAAGCGGAGGCGGAAGAGGCAAATAATGAGCCAACATGAAAGGAAAATGCCTCCCTGCTTCCTGCCCTTGCTAAAATCCCCTCCAGGAAATGGCCCCGTGGCGCCTTTCATAACCACAAAAGGGCAGGATCAGAAATTCCCCGGTGCTTAAGTGACAATGCCAGGGCGGCACCAGGCAAAGCCACAGTCGCCAGACCTCACCCAACATGCTGGTGCGGGGGGCAGAAAACGTAATAATGTCCCCCAAAAGGCAGTGGTCACGGTGCTTCAGTCTTGACAGGACAGTTTCACAACGGTGTCCTGTCGGCGGCAGAGGGATGACTTTGGGCCAGAAACAGGTGCACTGACCTCATTTTTTTTTTTTGGAAGATGAAAACTACACAGTAACTTAATTGAAGGGTGAGAAAGGGCTCTTGTATTAAAATACGATAAATATTGACTGCGGAGCAGAATCATCTAGGGGACTACAAACTCCGGACCTCACCAGTGCCGGGAGGACCCTCAGCCAGCTCTGTCCATGAACACACAGAGCAGGGACACATCCGCTGCGCGCATGCCTGGGGCCTGGGCTGGGTCCTTCCCACTACCTTTTTGCCCAGTTATGTCACTAATACACACTCAAGGAAGGAAGTGGAGAGAATATTTTTTAAAAGAAAGGAAATAACATATATCACATCCGACAATCCCCACTGTTTGGGTACAAATGCTGGGCACAAAATTGGTATTCCACTGTATAGTAGATGCCATGCTGTGTTTATTTAAAATAACATGAAGATTTCCCTGAAAATATGGTTGTAATAGCCACAGAGTTAGCGAATGGCACACTGTAATTGCCCCGATATTGCTATCAATATTCAGGTTGTGTCCAATTTTCAACTAAGATAAGCAAAGCTTCAATGGCTATCTGGATACATAATTTTTTGGCTATCTCTGATGTTAATACAAGCCCTTAGAGTATGACTCTGAGTCAAAAGGCACACACGTTTGTTTTCCAGAACGTTATAGCAAACAACATTTCCTTCAATGGGATATTTATCCTGCTATAGGCTTACCCATACTGGGAGCAAATATTTAAAAGACTGTTTACCTTTTTGGTGGGCCCTTCCCCACCAGAAGAAAGAATTTTCTAAAATTTGCATTTCTCTGATTACTTGTAAGGTTTAGTATTTTCTGTTTATTTGCCTTTCATATTTCTTCAGTGACTTGCCGAGTAGGCAAACATAGCAGACTTATTCCATTTGATGTTAATGTTTTCTTATTGATTTATGACTGCTTTTAGTATAATAGGGATGGATTGGCAGGTAGACAGCGCATGTCCTGATTTGCCAATTCTGTTGATGGTATTTGACACAGGACACTAATGGATGTGTGGTTAATTGTATCAATCTTCCCCTATGCTATGCCTTCCACTGCACGGTTCTGCAGCCCGGGATCCAACCCCAGCTGCCCCACTTACTAGTTTAATGCCCCTCTCTTTGTCTCAATTCCTTTGATTGAATATAGCAAGAGTGCATTTAATACAGAGACCTAACGTGGCAGGCAGCCTTGGAGATGGCCTCCGATGGCGCCATCTCCTACCATTCACATGTCACCCCTGCCGGCCCGGCCAGGAAGGACCAGAGGGCTACCAACAGCCGTGGAGCGAGCTGAGAAGCAGAAGCTTCCCAGTGGCACCTGGCGATGACATAGGCCCTGCCAACACTTTGTGAAACTGAGCCAGAGGTACCCAGAGATGCTGTGCTGGGATTCTTGACCCCAGAAAACAGTGAAGAAGTAAATGTTTGTTGCTTGAAGCTGCCAAGTGTAAAAGTGATACCTTGTACAGCAGGAGGTAACTAGCACATAATGCAGACAGCCTCTGCTTACCGTTCTTCAGCTTAAGAGGTCTGACTTAACAATGTGTCAACTTTATGATGGGCTTGTCAGGGCATTCAATGCATTCACTACTTACTGATATTTCCAACTTATGAGGATTTATTGGGATGGAACCCCATTATAACTCAAGGAACATCTGTATACATAAAGCACAGAACAGCGCCTACAGTGTATTACCAAAGAAAGTCCAAATACTTGGCCATCTTTCTCACCTAAAAAATGGTAACTTTTCTTAGCCCTTGAAGCTGGGCTTAACCATGTGACTTACTAAATTGACCAAGAGAGCAGTAACAAACATGACACAGACACCTGATAGTCAACTACCTGCACAGGGGTGCTTGCCATCTGGAAACTCTGTCACCACCACATGAAGAAGCCCGGCCTTGCACGATCTCTGCTGCACCCCAGCAGCAGCAGCCACCCAGGAACCACGAGAGGCTGTCAGAGCAGATCATGAATGAGTCCAGCTGAAAGAGCCACGCTGCCTACCCTTCCAACCCAAATCACCTGCTGAATGAGAGGTTTTTCTAAGTTCCGGATTGATGCATTACACGGCATTTGAAGACTGATACAACAATCACTATTATTGTTACTATTCTTATTGTTATCCTGGGATCCATTCAATAACCACACATATTTCTTAACATTATAGTTATATCCCTACCTTTTAATTAATCCATTGAAAACCCACCTTGGTATATGATAGCAAGTGGGGGGCCTAACTTCATGTTTCATGAAACAGTCAGTTCTATCTTCTCCAAGAAACTGCAATACCTTGTTTTCAAATGTTGGAATCTAGAGTCTTCCAGGATATCATTTCCATGACCATTTCCGTCCTTACAGCACGAAATCATGACCCAGCGCCATACAGTTACTTTGCTTTCACTGTGGCCAGGCTAAAGCTGCTGCTCTTCTACTGGGGTGTGCCAGGAGAAATGGCCACAATTGGACTGCATGAAAAAGACTGATGCTGCCAGGGAGGGGGACAAAGAGAAGTGACAATTGTGATTTGAACCCAGGGCATGGAAATGGGAGAGACAGAGACAGTCACAGTTGTGGAAGGGATGACTCCAAGTCCATTTTTTGTTTAAAATCCAAACAAAACCTGTCCTGAATCTCTAAGTCGGTAAGCAGCTGAATTCCACAAGTTCATTCTGAGTGAAGCCGTGGGCACCGTGAAGGAATGGGTGGGGTACAAATGTGGTACGATGATGCCTCTTCCAAGGCCACCGTGCAGAGACAATGCCATATGCAAACCCTCTACAGGAAGTATTCACAAATCAATGTAGTACAAGCAATATTTAATGTCAGGGGAACTGAGAAATGCTGCATGATGCAAACCACTCACGGAAGGCTTCCTGGATGAAGCCTTCCAGGTTTTGAGGAATACAGTTCAACAAAGAGAAGGTGCATACAAAGTCAAGAAACTGGGGTGTGGGGCTGGGGATTTAGCTCAGCGGCAAAAGCGCTTGCCTGGCAAGCTCAAGGTCGTGAGTTCGGTTCCTGGTACCGGAGAAAAACCAAATAAAAAAAAAAAAAAAAAAAAAAAAAAAAAAAAAAAAAAAAAAAAAGAAACTGGGGTGAATAATTCAGGTGCACGAACCGGTTGACTTGGTTAGACTAACAGGGATGGTGAACCTTTAGCGCTTTCAGTGATAACAAACAGCCCACTACGGCACACAGGCCAGAGCTCCTCCACCACCGGACCAGAAACTCTAAATAGGCGCACTAGGAGAGGAGCTTGATGAAGAAGCGGAGGTCCCCGGCATCTGACAGAGAATCTTCAACTTTAGGTCTGATCGTCAAAA